GAGAGAGAGAGAGAGAGGTTACATAATGGACCTGAAACAAAACAATGGTGAAGTGATTTCCTCAACATTTACCCAATTCACATTTGGTACACAGATTGAAGCTAGGGCTTGTCAAGTCTTTCTAAAGGGTCAAAACTAGGGTTTTTGGCTTGTCAAGGCTTTCTAAAAGATTGAAGCTTGGGATTTGTCTTATCAAGGCTTTAGATAGATCAAAGCTAGGTTTTTTGAAGGATTTCTCTCTGGTCCAGTGGGTTTGGAGAGTTAAAGAGAGGAAAATTCAGAAAGGTTAGAATTTCACTATAATTTTATCTATTTGTTATCATTTGTTTGGCTTTTATCTGAGGTTTTGCCATCTTCTATAAACCTTTTTTCCTTGTGCATCTATTCTCTTAATTTTTCCCATGTTTTCTGGTTTCTAATAAATATTTGGGATTTTTACCTCTCGATGCGGACTTTGGTGAGTGAACTCAGACTCACCCGTGTAATAACTTGGCCCATCTAGGGGTGAGTTCTACGACCAACCTGACTTTAAAAAACAGGGGAATATAGAATACTTTTCAAATCAGGAATTTTCCATGGGAAACTGCTGCAGAATAGATATATAGGAGTAAGTGAAGAAAGGAGAACCATGATTGTAATTTCACTTATTATCTTGTCAATAGTACTCAAATACATCATATCCTGCCTGTGTTTGAAAATTTAGAGAGTCATCAACAACATGGTGTATTGCATTTCTATGTCATGTGAAAATGGAAAAGTACTGCTTCTATTGTTACTTTGATCAACTAAATAATATGGAAGGGTTCCGCCCAATTGGTCAACTTGTGTCGGTCATGACAACCCAAAGCCCAGGCTTGTCTCCTCTTGCCAATAAAAAAAAAAAATAGTCAAGTACATACTACTCTTTAAATGCTTCTCTCATTCTCCATTTGAAATGAGGCTGAGTTATATTCTGCTTCTTCGTGTAGCATATGCGAGATGTTCGTCCTGGGGACCCTGATGATTTTTCAGAAACTCCATATATACCAGTTTACGTGATGCTTCCGGTGAGTGCCAATGCTTTTTATATTTAATTGGACACCTTGCTTTGTATGCCTTATAAAAAATTGGGAAGTACATTATAATCCAATGGTCTCTGGACAAGCCAAAGTCCATGGGATCATCATTCTCAACTGACGTGATGGACATTGATGATCTGATAGACTTTGGTTTTTCCATAGTGCATTGGATTTATAATGTACTTACCAATAAAAATAAAGAAAACTTATTGGTATAAGTTTTACTTATTTTACTACCCTGCATTGTATATCCTCTTTTTTATTTTCTTAGGCGTTCTTTAATTAAGATTCATGAGATCCATTTGTTTGCCTGTGCTTTGAGTAACAAAGCAAGACTCTTCCCATGATTGAACTGGTGTACGCTTCTTGTGAAGTATGTTCTTTTAATCCTCTGTTACTGCCATTGTAGTTAGGTATTATCAACAACTTCTGCCAATTGGTTGATCCAGAAGCTGTATGTCGTGATTTAAGGCGCTTAAAGTCCATAAATGTAGATGGAGTTATTGTTGAGTGCTGGTGGGGCATTGTTGAAGGATGGAGTCCACAAAAATATATATGGTCTGGCTATCGCGAACTCTTCAATATTGTCCGTGAAGTCAAGCTTAAGTTGCAGGTGATTTTCTTGTGCTTTATTTGATTGACAATGCTATAAAAAATTTATACTGCCTCCATGAATGTGTTTATTGCAATATATGATTGACTATTTTTTCCCATTATTGCTTTTTATTGTATGACTGTTTTACTGATATTTGTCTAAAGTATTTCCGGTTTATTAATTTCTTCAGTCACTTGGAATCTGGTGCATGATTAATTGTGTCCTGCATGAACTGTTGTTAAAAAGGAATAAAGTTTGTTTCTTGAGTTACTTGGAATCTATGATCCGATTTGTGTTCATTGCAATAATGATCCGATTTATTGCAAAACAAGGACTATAGTTTATTAATTTCTTGAGTTACTATAGTTACCAGCTTAAATTTTTTTCTCTTGAGTTACTTGGAATCTGGTGCATGTTTAACTGTGTCCTGCGTGAACTGTTGTAAGAGTTTATTGATCTGTTGGCTAATACAATCTAATAGAATATACCCCTTCTTCATATTTTATATATATGTCATTTGTCAAAAAGTAAAATTCATAAATATGTGGTTCTTCCCAAATTCTCAATGTTTTAGGTAATATCAAGAACAATATGTGTATCTACTTGATGGATACACTGTTCTTCCGTCAAATCTTCTTGAGCAAAATTCAAAACTGCTGCCCCTTCCTGAAAAATTATATAATATGATGAATCCACATCCCTTTGAAAATTATTATGTTTCATATAAATTTTTAATTATTTTTTTGTTAATTTCCTTTAGAAAGTAATTATGTATCTGTTGCCTCATGACTTAAACATTTTACTGAATTGTTTCCTTGTTTATGCATTTGAAGGTTGTTATTGCGTATTAAAATACTTAATGAATCATGTCTTTGTTAATGTATTTGAAGATTGTTATGGCGTTTCATGAATGTCGGGCAAACGGAGGCAGTGAAATGTCAATCCCTCTTCCCAAGTGGATTTTGGAGATTGGCAAAGATCACCAGGATATATATTTCACAGATCGTGAAAGGAGGAGAAACGTAGAATGCCTCTCATGGGGCATTGACAAACAACGGGTACTCAAAGGAAGAACGGCCATAGAGGTACTTTATGTGGACTTTCTTATCATGCTTAATTGGGAACTGATAATCTTGAATAATTTGATATTTTTTCCTTTTCTTTAATGTACATAATGAGTATTCTACAAGAGCTTGCCGACCTGCTAGCTTTGAATGCGACTCTACAGAGGCTTGAAGCCCCATTAGAATTCTTTTTACTAAAATTTTAGTATCTTGAGTTCAAAATGCGTCGTATAAAAGTTAGAAAAAATCATAGGAAGTAGAAAATGCTATTTATATTGTAAGTATACAATTCTCCTGGTAGGACCCTTCGTAAAACATGGTGTTATGCTCCATGCAGGTTTATTTTGACTTTATGAGAAGCTTTCGAATGGAGTTTGATGACTTATTTGTTGAGAGTCTGATCTCTGCTGTTGAGATTGGATTGGGTCCTTCTGGGGAGCTTCAGTATCCTTCATTTCCAGAAAGGATGGGATGGAGATATCCTGGTATCGGTGAGTTTCAGGTATCCATTTTTTAGTCCGTTCTTTTGGTGTACTTTTCTTTTGCAAGAGAATTTTATTTATTATATTTGGGGATCGTGGCTGAAGGTTCCTTCTGGGTATTTTTATTGGCACCAGTCTTAGGACTGTGCACAAACTCACAGTTCTTTTACATATTTGAATATTTTCTGCCACAAATTAAAAGAAACGAGTTGGAGTACATTATCATAACCTCTGTTCATGGATAATTTGTGGGGGCTCATATGTGATGAGAACTGTTTGGTAGCCCATTTTACATGTAAAAGGGAGAGGGACTGTTAGATTTCTGGGAGCAAAATGATCTTGTTGTCTCTTCAAAAGCAGAAGAAACCATGGTTGCACTCTAATGTTCAAATTATTAAGCGAAATAAGAACGAAGGATTTGATTGTTGTAAATGACAAACAAGCTCTAGACGAACTTGGCACCTGTAGAAGAACCAAGGATCTTGTTCTCTTCAAAAGCAGAAGAAACCATGGTTGCACTCTAATGTTGAAATTATTAAGCGAAATAAGAACCAAGGATTTGATTGTTGTAAATGACAAACAAGCTCTAGACGACCTGTAGAAGAACTCACAAAACCAGTCAGGAAGGTCCACACATCCGGCTATTGGAGAACTTTTATTCTTTCTATTTCTCCGCAAATAAATTTCTTTGGAGAACTCAAATATATTTCTCAATTTAAAAACTCAAGAAAATCCCTGGAAAAATAAAGAAAATGGAGAACTCAAATATATTTCTCAATTTAAAAGCTCAAGAAAATACCTGGAAAAATAAAGAAAATGGAGAACTCAATATATTTCTCAATTTAAATAACGCAAGAAAATCCCTGGAAAACAGAAAAAACAACATATTCCCAAAAATCTCAAAAGCATCTCCCAAAATAGCATCATTATGTCCACTTCTGACTCCTAGCTACATGAAAGTCCGATTAAATGACATAGAATTATGAACACATTAATCACATTGATCAACCCTTCCGAGACTGCCATATTTCTGCTTCCCTTCTCAAATTTAGGAAAAATTGGGTCCTAAATCCTAAATTTGAGGTCATTCTTGTAAATCTGATTACGTACTTGATCCATTATAACCTAACCCAGAAGAACAGAAGATTAATTCATTGTATCTCTATGCAGTGTTATGACAAGTATTTACAGCACAGCCTAAGGAAAGCAGCCAAGTTAAGGGGTCACTCATTCTGGGCGCGGGGACCCGATAATGCTGGACAATACAACTCCCAGCCCCATGAGACTGGTTTCTTCTGTGATAGAGGTGATTATGACAGTTACTATGGGCGCTTCTTCCTTCAATGGTATTCTCAAGTTCTTATCGACCATGCGGACCATGTTCTAGCTTTGGCAAACCTGGCATTTGAAGGGACTCCGATTGTAGCTAAGGTGAGGGTCTGAAACTTGGTCACATTTTAAAGGTAAAATTTGTCACTTATTTATCACGCTATCTATGTATCTTTCTATCTATCTATTTGTTTTTCTACATACACACACACATAAAATAAAAATAAAATGGATAGTAGTTTACATTATGTTCCCAGTTGCCCGATTTTGATTTCATGGTTGAAAATACATGTTATCATTTGAATTTTAATCTTTTTTCTACAAATCGGGTTAGTCTTAAATTTTAGGAATATTCATTTGGAACCATCTCGCACCTATTTTAAAAAATTGGAAATATTTTCTTTTTGTGCACCCTAATATGTAGTACACGTCCAAAATTTCATCTTGATCCAATTTGAAAAAAAAGATTAAAATTCAAATATATACTCATTTCAACCATCTGATCAAGATCTAACGGTTGGGAGTGTAACCTAAATTTCTATTCATTTTAGGTGACAACTTATTGGTAGCTTTTTCTACACACACACACGTGCAGGCGCGCGCGCGCACGCACACACACACACATGCATGCACGGACGCATGCGGACAGACACACACACATATATATATAAAATATATTTCGCAAAATATAAATTGACCAAAATACCCCCATAAATTTTCAGGGATATTTTGGCCAATTTATATTTTGCAAGTTATTTTTTTATATTTTTATTATATTCTCCTATTTTTTATGTACACACGCTCCAAATTTCAGATTATTCCGATTTGTAAGAAAAAAAAAAATAAAACACTACTGAACAACTGTGATCGTGCGATGAACTTTGGACGGTGATGAGCATAGGCAAAATCACTGTTCATTTTCGCCTATAGGCATTGCATAGTATTATATATATATATATATATATATATATATATATATATAGTAGTAGTACTAC